GCTCGCTGGCCGTGGCCGCGGAGCTGTCAGACGACGCGCTGGAGATGTGCGTGGGCAGCACCTCGGACGCCGCGGCCCTCCTCGAGGAGCTCGAGGGGCAGCCGCAGCTCGAGGAGCGGAGGGAGCTCTGCAGCAAACTCTGGGAGCCTCAGGCTCGGGGCCCGGCGCTTCCAGTTCTCATCTCCACCCCCAGGACCCCCTCGAGCCATGGAAAAATCCCTACGTGAGGTCTGGCGCTATTATTTTCGGCTTCTGGGGGCCCTCACCAGGCCCCTAGACATTTATTCGGGGCGACAAACCGGTCCCGTGGAGTGGGTCGAGATCTTTGGGGGTCGACGGTATGAAAAGATCATGACGTCGGGGGTATGGGTCGGCCTGGAGCTTACCAGGCCAGGATAAGCAGATCTACATGTCAGTCCGCTCGATGCCCTGCGAGCCGACTGCAAAAGGGCGCCAGCACCCCTAGATGCTTTTCGGGGCTTTACGACCCGACAGGAAAAGAGCATTGGCCATTAGCGCGCCCAGTAAAAAAGATCGTAATTCGTAGCCTCGTGCTGGGGGGGGAGGGAGCAGGGCTCCTTAGAAGCACCCCTGCTTCTCAGAAGACGCGGGCCTTCTCTTTAAAGGTAGGGCTGGCGCCTTCTAGGGGGCAGCCTCCTTCTAAAAAGCTTTCCCCTCCCTCCATCCCCTTGCCAATTTTCGTTTTCAGTGTGTACTAGCGTCGATTAGCGTCGGGTAGTCTATGGGGGAGCGCCGATTTGGCGTCGACTGGCGTCGGTCAGCGCCGATTTGGCGACGACCAGCGACGATCAGCGTCGATCCGGAAGAGCCAAAAAGATGGTACGGGAGGCTCCCATGAGTTGCCACCGAAGAGGGGGAGGCACCTTCTCCTACGCTGCAGTTCCTCACGACGACTCGGGGCCCACCTACACCGTCGGCTGGTACCCTCAGGGTCCACGGGGGGGGTCGAGGTTGGAGGTTCTCGGGTGACTCCGCCGCTTCTCGGAGAACTTCCCCGTCGCGGGGTGCTCTTTCCAGCAGCTCCGCTCGGATGTCTTCCCGAACGGACGGCCGTCGGAGACCAGAGTCATGTCCCTAAAGCCGAGGTCTGTATCCGTTCGATCTGGTTGAGTCGATTCCGTATCGGTACCGCTCGGCCCGATCCGGTCCGGTCCTGGTGTTACGACGATGCGGTACGGAGCCGATGTTCGAACGGCGTGGTGTTGCACCTTGGGGCCGCCGATCCGATTCGACTGCGACTCCGTGCCGATGCAGCCCGATCCGATGGACGTTGCTGTTCGATCCGATGCCTCGATTTCCGATGAGAGCCAGTGGCGTCCGTGGTTCGGTCGATTGGGCTGCGCAGCGTCGAAGACGATGCTACAACGTGTGCAACAGCTCTCGGAGGCCCGCGCCGATACTTTGGATGGGCGCTGGGCCCAGGGACAACCAAAAACACGCGCGCATACTTCCGACAGTTCATCCATTTCATGTGCTCTGGCGTTGCATTTTTGTTCACCACGTTGTCCCTGGACGACACGGGGCGTTTTGTTCGCGGATTTCCCGCGTGGAACGTAGCCGCGCGACCGCGTATCTTCGGGATCGCGCCTCGGAATCCAGGCCGCGCGGGTGCGGATATGGGCACATTCCTCAACCGCGTTGTTTGAAGAATGTGCCCAGAAGGCTTCAGACCCTGGAGGATCACTATCTGATGAGGGCGGTCCTGGTATCCATGGCCAAAGCTTCAATTTAATTGAGCGGCGGAAGAAAATGCGGTCGATTGCGCCGACATTCGCGCGTAAGATGCCCGCGTAAGGTCGCGCGCAAGCGCCCTCGCTTGCCACGTTGGCGGCCCGCGAAAGCCACCACGTGGGATCGCTATGCCATCTCGCATGGGACCCGTCCCTCTTCGTCGCTCTATCGGTGTTCCACTGGCTTTCAGACCCTGGATTCTCCAATGGTTCCTTGCCCGATGGTTCCTCGTCCCAGGCATGCCCTCACCGTTGTGATTAAGGCCAGGAGCCTCCGCAGGAGCTCCTGCGCGCGCCCGCCGCCGCGGCCGAGCCGGAGGGCGACGCGGACCTCCCCGCCGAGGACGGCGCGGAGCCGCACGCGGCCTCGCCCCACGAGCCCGACGCATGACGCGGCCCGCCGGCGGCCCGCCGGGCGCGCCGCGCGCATGCGGCCGCTGGCCGCCGGCTCGGCACGGCCAGTCTGAGGCGGGCCTGGCCGGGGTCGGCGCATCTCGGCGTCGCCTCCTGGGCCTCCCAGATGGGGCTGGAGTGTCCAGTTCCCCCCCCCTTCAGTCATGAAACGCAGTCACGCGCGGGCGCTTTGTCACTGTTTCCGGCCTCTGGGGGGCCTTATCCGGGCCTGGGGCCGTCAACAGACGACTCTGGATGAAAAACTGGTCCCGGGGAATGGAGGTCGAATTTTGTGACAGAGTCATGACGTCGGGGGTCTGGGTCTGGGCCTCCCAGATGGAGTCCGTGTAGATGGGGTCGGAGGATCGCTCCGCGTCGCCCATGCATCGGCGATGCGGCTCGATGTCCAGCCCGATTTGCTCCACACGTCGACGTCGCCGATGCATCGCCGACGTTGGCGAAGTACGGCTGGCTTTGGAGTTCCTCTTATTCTCCTGAAGGTACCACCGCTCCAAGCTGGTTTAGGCATACCCAGCCAGCCATACCCAAAACGACCACACCGGGAACGGCCCTTCTTAACTCGTCTATGTACTCGTGTATGCTCAGAAGCATTAGCGTGCGGGATGCCAGCGTGCACTTCTTACGCACGCCCAACGAGCCCACACGCCCCCCTTACGCACGCAGGCTGTACAGGCGCCCTGGAATCTCAACAGAATCCAACGGATCCCGGGGGGCCAGCCGCCGATGTGCATCGGGCAGGGTCGGTGCGCCGGGCGCGGCCAAGGAGGGACGACGACGAGGGGGGCTGGAGCTCGTGGCTGGGGCCGCGCCGTCTCCCCGGACTTCGTGGCCCCCTCTGTTCTTCTAACACGTCCCCTGCCACCTCCTCCTCCTCCTCCTCCTCCTCCTCCCTCCTCCTCCTCCTCCTCCCCTCCTCCTCCCCCTCCTCCTCCTCTCCTCCTCCTCCTCATCCTCCTCCTCCTCCTCCTCTCCTCCTCCTCCTCCTCCTCCTCCTCCTCCCCCCTGGTCCGCGCGGAAACGGCTCGGGCCACGATTCGCAAGCCCGCCTCTTGGGCATTCCCGAGTGTAGGCGTACAGTTGGCCAGAGCCGGCTGGTAGTCCGAGGTGGCCCAGCACGGGCTCCAGAGAGCAAGAAATGGGGGCGAGGTCCGAGGTTCTGGGTCCGAGAAGGTTCTTCCCAACCATCCTGTGGTGTTGGGTCCTCGTTTTGAAGAGACGGCGCCCCGCGGTCCCCTCCCCTCTCCTCCTCCTCCCCCTCCTCCCTCCTCCCCTCCCCCCCCCCCCCTCACTTTGGCACACCCTTCACACGTTTCGTGGCCCCATAGGGAGCTCCACCGAAGGCACTGGTCGCAAGCGGTCCCCCCACAAACTGCAACGCTTCGTGGCCCTACCGAAGGCCCCTGTGGGGGTGCCCGCATGCGGTCCCCCCACCCAGTGCTTCGTGGACCCATGGTGAGCTCCACCGAAGGCCCTGGGGGGGGGGGCCGCGTGCGGTCACCCACCCAGTGCAGCGGTTCGTGGCCCCAGAGGGAACTCCACCAAAGGCCCTAGTGGGGGAGCCCGCATGCGGTCCCCCCACCCAGTGCAGCGTTTCGTGGCCCCACAGGGAGCTCCACCGAAGGCCCCAGTGGGGGTGCCCGCATGCGGTCCCCCAACCCAGTGCAGCGTTCGTGGCCCCATAAGGAGCTCCACCGAAGGTCCCAGTGGGACCGCCCGCATGCGCCCGCCACAACCAGGACAGCGTTTCGTGGCACCATGGGGGGCTCCACCGAAGGCCCCAGGTGGACCGCCCGCATGCGTTCGCCACACCCAGTACAGCGCTTCGTGACCCCATAGGGAGCTCCAGCGAAGGTCCCAGTGGGACCGCCCGCATGCGTCCCCCCCACCCAGTACAGCGCTTCGCGGCCCCATAGGGAGCTCCACCGAAGGCCCCAGTGGCACCGCTGCATCTCCCCCACCCAGTACAACGCTTCGCGGCCCCATAGACAGCTCCAGCGAAGGTCCGAGTGGGACCGCCCGCATGCGTCCCCCCCCACCCACCAGAGGAGCAGCGTCTCGCGACCCCATATGAGGGCTCCACCAAAGGCCCCAGTGGCAGCGCCCGCATGCGTCCCCACAACCCACTACAGCGTGTCGTGGCCCCACAGGGAGCTCCACCGAAGGCCCCAGTGGGACCGCCCGCATGCGTCCCCCCCACCCATTACGGCACGCCCCATCACGCGATGCGTGGCCCACTGGAAGCGGCACCCACAACGCGTTGCCCACAACTACAATATGGTTGGATCCTTCGCCTGGATAATTTTGTTTCGGTATAAGGGGGCCAGTTTCGAGCCCCAGGGCCGTCAAAACGGAGCCCGGGTGAAGCATTGCACCAGGTAGATCCCCGGAGTTGCTCGGTGATAGATTTTGAGCGGCATTGTTTTTTATTCCCCATTCCTGACAGAGTTTCTCGGGGCCCCTGCCGTTAACCCTCTCCCTGGCCGCCTCCAAATACTTGACGCCCCCCTAGTCCGTCAGGAGGGAAATATACACACACAGAAACATAAACATAGATTTCCAGGAATATGTGGGAACGTGTGGGAGAGGGAGCGGAGCGGGCGAGCAACATCCTGGACAGATTAAGGAATACGGGGAGTCCTGGAATACATATAGATATATGCATAGTTACAAAGATATGCATATATGTGTGTATATATATATGCACAGTTACATACACATATAACTATATGCACCTATATGTATAGATATGTGTGTACACGCGTGAGTACATATGTAGATACAGATATACGTGTGTACATATGTGTATATATATAGATACATCTACAAATATCTATACATATATATATATATATAGTATGCCTCCCTGGGCCCCCTAGTAGTCAGGTCTCCCCGCTCTCGCGGCCGCAATTGCCACGGTGCGTGCGCCGCCGCCTCCCTGTGCGCCAGTAAGCCGCCCCCCCTTGCGCGGGCGCAGTGGTCTCATACAGCGCATCGCGCCTTCCTCTCGGCGGTGCGCCCCATGGGGGAAGTGGGAGAGGGCGGGCATTCTGAGATGTTCACGTGAGCCTGCACCGAAGACACAGGAAGCTGCTCAGAAGGCGCGATGCCTTCTTGAGAAGCCCCGCCGCCTTTGAGAATCCCTGCTCCCTCTCACGTCCCCCCCCCCTCGCTCGCCGCCGATCCTCGTCCGCTCGCCGCCCTCCCCCTCGAGGACGGGTGAGGTGGAGGAGGATTTCGAGCATCGTTTAACCGACCATATGCCCACCACAGGCGTGGCCTGGGCCCCACTGGCCGATGTACCCCCCAGGATGGGGAGATGCACAGCTTCCTTCGGGCTTCGAGGGGTGTATGCCCAACTGGGGTGGTGGGATGGTGGGGGTCTGGGTGGGGATGAGGATGGGGACAGGGGTCGGTTAGACGATACTGGGATTTGTGTGTGTTTTGTGTGTGTGCGTGTGCGTGTGCGTGTGCGTGTGCGTGTGCGTGTGCGTGTGTGTGTGTGTGCGTGTGTGTGTGAGTGTGTGCGTGTTTGTGTACGTGTGCGTGTGTGTGGTTGCGTGCGCGTGCGCGTGCTTGTACGTGCGTGCATGTGCGTGCATGTGTGTGTCTGTGTGTGGTTGTGTGTGTTATTGGTTATGTGTGTGCGTGTGCTTGTGTGTGTGTGGGTGTGTCTGTGCGTGGTTGGGTGTGTGTGTGTGTGCTTGTGTTTGTGTGTGTTTGTGTGCGTGGTTGTGTGCGTGGCTGTGTGCGTGGTTGTGTGTGTTTGTGTGTGGGTGCGTGTGCGTGTGCGTGTTTGTGTGCGCATGCGTGTGCGTGATTGTGTGCGTGTGCGTGTGGGTGTGCGTGCGTGTTTGTGTGCGTGTGCGTGTGCGTGTGTGTGTGTGTGCGTGTGCGTGTGTGCGTGTGCGTGTGCGTGTGCGTGTGTGCGTGTGCGTGTGCGTGTGCGAGTGCGTGTGGTGTGGGTGTGGGTGTGCGTGTGGGTGTGTGGGTGTGTGGGTGTGAGTGAGTGTGTCTGTGGTGTGTGTGGTGTGTGTGTTGCGTGTGTGTGTGTGTGTGTGCGTGTGCGCGTGTGTGTGTGTGTGTGTGCGTGTGTGTGCGTGTGCGTGTGCGTGTGCGTGTGTGTGCGTGCGAGTGCGTGTGCGTGCGTGCGTGTGCGTGCACGTGTGTGTGTGTGATGTGTGTGTGTGTGTTTGTGTTTGTGTGTGCTTGTGTGTGTGTTTGTGTGTGTGTTTGTGTGTGTGGTTGTGTGAGCGTGTGGTTGTGTGTGGTTGTATGTGTGATTGTGTGTGTTGTGGTGTTGTTTGTGTTGGCCGTTGTGTGTGTGCGTGTCTGTGTGCGAGTTTGCGGTTATGTTTGTTTGTGTGCGTGTTTGTGTGCGTGTGCGTGTGCGGGTTTGTGTGCGGGTTTGAGAGCGTGTGCGTGTGTGTGTGTTTGCGTGCGTGTGCGGTTGCGTGTGCGTGTGCGTGTGCGTGTGGGTGTGGGTGTGGGTGTGGGTGTGGGTGTGTGTGTGGGTGGGTGTGTGGGTGTGTGTGCGGTGTGTGTAGTGTGTGTGTGTGTGGTTGCTGTGTGTGCGCGTGCGTGTGCGTGTGCGTGTGGGTGGGTGTTCATGGGTGTGCGTGTGTGTGTGTGTGTGTGTGTCTGCGTGCGTGTCTGTATGTTCGAGTGTGTGTCTGTGTGTGGGTGCGTGCGTTCGGCGTGTTGGGCCCTCCTGGCCTCGGCGAACAGGGTGCATACACCACGCCAGGGCCCAGGATGGCCTAGGCCAGGCATGCTGGTGGTTTGTACATGCTCTTGTTAGTAAGTGGGAGCAGCGAGCACATGGGAACATGAGAGCAGAGCGGCCAGGGAACTCGCGGTAACCCATGAGGAAGAGGAAGAGGATGATAATGAGAGGGGATACGGTGGAGGAAGGAGGTGGATTGGAGGAGGAAGAGGGAGGAAGATAATGAGAAGGAGGAGTAGACGATGATGGGGAGGAGGAAGGAAGGACAACGAGAAGGAATGAGAAAGAGGAGGAGGAGGGAGGAGGAGGAGGAGGGATGAGTGGGGAGGAGTAGCAGATGAGGGATGAGGGGGGAGGATGGGGGAGGAGGAGAGGGGGATGAGGGAGGAGTAGGAAGGGGAAGAAGAATGAGGATGGGATGAGGAAGGAGAGGGCGTCAGGAGAGAGGAGGAGGAGGAGGAGGAGAAGGAGGACGAGGAGGAGGGAGACGAAGGGCACGGGATGATGGTGAAGTGGCCGGGATCGGGAGGAGCAGCTTTACCCTCCCCCTCTCGTGAGGGGGGGCAGGGAGATCGCGGCGCGCGCCGCAGACGTGCGCCGACACCAGCAGCGGCGGGGAGGAATGCGACGAGCAGCTCCCGGGCTGCCTGAAGCGGGGCATGGGGGGGATGCCAGCCAGTGCTCCTCACGCCCCTCGAGGATTCGAGTGGCTTTTGGCCGCTTCCAGCTCACATTGGATTCAGAATTCTTGCTCGCAGCCCTCAGCCTGCGCACGCCATTTCCTCGGGTCTCGAACGGCGACGTAATAGGGGTCACCAGATTGTGCAAGAGAGTGCCTTCGCCCACTTGGATTCATAGAGTTCTGTGCACGTCCGCTTGCGGATCGATTCGATTCGACCCAGGCTTGCTTCTTGCCCGCTTCCATTGGTAGGCCACTCCGCGAGGCTCTGCGTGGCCGCGGCTGGATTCCCCTCCGCAGTCTGGCCAGAGCGCATCCCAGGAGAGGTACAGAGGGCCGTTGTCCGACCCCCTGGACCCAGGCATCCAACGTCTTCAGAAAGTCAAGGCGGTGTTTTCGCGGCGTCCTCGGCTTCCGCGGGCCTTTCATTGAGACCCCTGGGGCAAGAAAAGAAACCACTCGGGATGAACAATTTGTCCTGGGGTTCGGTATTACATTGTGGGAGCCTCGTACACCACCTTAATTCAGTGTTGGGCGTTGCCTGGTGTCTCTTAGCGTCTGGTAATCGATGACATGCGCCGAATTAGTGTCGATTTAGCGTCGATTAGCGTTGATCACGCTGGTTCGCAAGAACCAACAAGATGTATGAGAGGCTCCCATAGGTTCCCATCGAAGGGATGTCAGGCAGTGCCAAGGGCCCTTGGTACCCGAGTCTTGAGAAACATCAGGGCGGATGTCCCTGGACCTCCACGTGTTTGATTGTTTCCTCAACGCGGACTCCATTGGGTCTGGACCCCGTCCTCCTGGACCTGACACGCTTGGAGGCGCATCGCGGTGAGCCAGCAGCTGAGGCCGAGGCCGACGACGACGACGGCGACGACGGCGCCGACGGCGAGGACGATGACTACGGCGACAACGCCCAGGACGGCGTCGACGTCGGTGGGATGACGACAGCGACGGCGGCATCCCGAGGCCTCAAGTGGAACCTCCGGCTGTTCCGCGGCAGCCTCATGAGGCCCATACAAGGGGCAACGGCAACCAGACACCTCGATCATCTAACCTCGATCGATCCTCTATGGTGGCGACGGCGAGGACGACGGCGGCGCTTCCGAGGGACGACGGTGGCCACGGCGGCGACGGCGAGGATGATCGCGACGACGGCGGCGTCGGCGAGGACGGCGGCGGCGACAGAAAGGACGACGGCGACGACGGCGTGCAAGACAACGGCGGCGGCTGCGTGGGCGACGGGTGCGGCGTCGGCGGCTCGGCAAATCGCCCACCGAGCACGCGGGGAGGAGGCGCAAGAGCTCCTCGGCCGCGTCCACCGCGACCACCCGCCCGTCGCTGCCCCCGACGCCCCCGCCGCCGGAGCCCCCGGCCGCGTACGAGGCCCACGTCGTTGCCGGCCGCAGCAATCGACGATGTGGCCGTCGCAGTCGTGGTCGTCGTGTTCTTCGTCGTCGTCGTCGTCGTCGTCGTCGTCGTCGTCGTCGTCGTCGTGGAGGCGTCGTCGTCAATAGTCAGCCTGGAACTTTGGATGGCGTGTCGCGCCGCAGTTTCCGTCCCACCACACTTCGGCGCAACACTCTATCTCCACTTCGCGGTCGCCAGGCGTCAAAGTCTCGAGCTCTCCCGAGCCTCCCGCCCCGCGGAGCGCTGAGCGATACGCTATCCACTTTCAAGGTAGGGCATGTCGCCAGGGTTTCAGCGGCGACACGCTATCCGAGAGTTCCTGACCGTGAGATTGCCTCTGCCCTGAGACGAGCACTGTGCTCTTTCCCTCCTCCTTCTCCTCCTCCCTCCGCCCCTGCCCCCGGCTCTTGCTTCCCCTGCCCCTCATCCCCCTCCGCTCCCCGGGAGCGGGCCTTGGAAAGGCCGAGCGCTTTCAGCTGCCAGAGGACGGCCTGATCGACCTCGAGGAGTCCGAGGCGATTGGGGGGGGCTCGACGGTTGGATCGGCGGCAGGCCCCCAAGGGCACAGGAGAGTATCAGGGATACACGAAGGTCTCCGAATGATGCTATGGCCCCCGCAGTGGCGGATAAGGGTGAGGGAACGGGTGGGCCGCCGGTGGGTCGCGGGTGAGGACGACGACAACACAGCAACCACAGGAATGCGCATCGCGGGCCCTTTTCAGCCACGCACCCCGGGATTGCGCAAGACCGTTCGGCCCCCATCACTATGATTCATTTTCGTTTGTTCGGACACTGACCATATTCGGGCCCCGTCACCATCCAACGTAGGCACGACATATTGTCCCATGGAAAGCGGTCGAGACCGTCTGGGCCCGTCGGCTGAAACAGTCACATCGTCGGAAGACAGGGACAGTCAGTACACAACACGGTACATTCACGCCGCGGTGACGCGGCGGTGCTCTCAGTCGACCTCTCGCCCAGAGCCCTCTTACCTTCTGATTAGCCGTCTGCGTCTTTGGAGAAGGTTGAGTTCGAACGCTTCCCAGAAGGATAAAAGCCTGCTGAACCTTCAGAGATGGCCCGCCCCCTCTGCATTTCCCTCCTGGGCGCCGCGCCGATCCATCGCCGACGTTTCATGGTGAACTTCACAAAGCTGCCTGAACTCGGCCAGCATTGAAAGATCTCTGACGTCTTCACACGTGTACACTATGGGCGCCTCGTGGGCGCCCCGTGCGCTGGCCGGGTGTGGCAAGGTTTCGCTTGCTGAGCGGCCGTGGGCGCCTCGTGGGCGTTGCGTGCGCTGGGCGGGTGTGGCGAGGTGAGGCCTTCTTGGACGTTCTAACTGCCGGCGGCCCCCCCTCCCCCCTCCAGACCCAGGGGTAGGGGGTAGGGGGCAGGGGGGGCGGCGTAAACGCTTCCCAGAAGACATAACCAGCTTGAAACAGATTTCTATCCCTATAATTGGCATCACCTCCCCTCGACGCCGATCTTAAGGAGTTCCTGGGTTTCTGAGGACACTTCCCCAAGATGACCATCGCCTCTTGGTTTGTCGAACGTAGGGACAAGGATACGCTCGAGGCTGGTTCAGACAGGGGAAGACATGGAAGAGAAAGAAACGCTCCAAAGCACTCACGCCCTGAAGGGCTGGCGGGATTCCTTCGCGGTGCTGCATCCCTCGTCGCCGCGGCGGGGTGAGCCTGGAAATCTGGGGCAGAAAGTGCTCCGGTATGAGTCCAGGGACTCACCTCGACGAGTTCGGGTCTCTCCTGCTGCTCTCCTTCTCCACTTCCTCCTCCTCCTCCTTCTCCTCCTCCTCCTCCTTTCGCCTCCGTCCTCCTTCTACTCCTCCTCGTCCTCCACCTCCCCCTCCTCCCCTTCCTCTGAATTGCCAAGCTGGGCCTGACGGACAGCTCCGCTTTGGCCTCCAAATTGGTTGTTTGCTGGGCCGTGCATATGTCATTACCATCTCAGCCAGATGTGCGCCCTGAGTCGGCCGAATTGGCTTAAGCCGTTGTGGTTGAAGCCATTTTGGCGTAAGTTTGGCAGTTCTTCCAGGACAGCTTGCCAGCCCAATGGATATGATTGGGCTGGCCAGCAGCTGAGCTCGGTGAAGATGCCGAGTTCGTCGCAGACGTTGAGTAGATCGACATGCGAACCTGTGTTGAGTTGTCGACTGCCAAGCGTGGACGTAACCTGGTGATCGGAAGATTGGTCGCAGCTTTTATGATGGCAGCAGCAGTGCTGGCGGGAACGCGTGGCTCTTTGGCGGCACTCGGCGGTTCAGCGATCGGTCTCCAGGCCAATGCCACTTATTGCCATCCCGAGCTGAACGATCCTAACCAGCGTTGCCCAGACCTCTCCAAGGACGCCAAAGTTTGCGAACATCGTCCCCTTTCATTTTCGTTACGACGTCGGATATTTGGGTCCAGTGGTTGGGAAATGGACCCCGGACCTCTCCTGGGATACGTTTTGGCCTTGATCTTCGAATCCCTTCCCTCGATCCTCGAAGCCTTGATTTTCGAATCCCTCCTTCCCTATCCACCCTTGAACACTCGATCCTCGAGTCCCTCCCTCCCTGTCGGTCCTCGATTCCTCGAATCCCTCCCCTATCCCTCCCGGGCTCCCGCGAGGGGCGGAAGCGCGGGTCGGAGCTGATGATGATGCTCGGGGGCTTCGGGGCGGCGGCCCCCGCGAAGGCCCGCACCGGTCGCGCCCCTGTCCCGGCGCCGCTCTTAGGCGTGCTTTTCTCGGGGGGGTCAAGATCGTGTGGTGACAGACCGCGAGATCTCACCGCGCCGTCCGTCACCGCGCGGCACTGGGACCTCGGAGGCCCCGTCGCCCCGAGAGTTTCCCTCAGAAAGACCTGGCAGACCCAAAACCGTTCAGCGCACCGTTTGGGCTGCCCCAAGGTTCGCCCGAATTGGCGGGGAGTCAGCGCGAATCGGGAGCGTCCAAGAGGAGGGTGGGAGGGCTAGTAGTTTGTGTGAAAATCATGATGGGGACGATGAAATCTCGCGGGATTCATAGCCCCTCCTTTTCCTTGTTCCTTCAAGACGTTCCTTTGCCCCCCTTCCTGTATGGCACTTGGTTGGTGTTGTTAAGCTCTCCCATTCGGGCCTCGTTTTTTGTTTCTCTCTCTCTCTCTCTCTCTCTCTCTCGGTATCTCTTTTCTCGATAATTCCTTCTCTCTATCTCTCTCTCTGTCCTTCCCTCTCTCTCTCTCTCTTTCTCTCTTCTCTCTCTAGGTAGTATTCAACAAAAGGAACCCTTTGCAATCTTCCACTACCGTGCCGGCCTTGCAAAGACTCTTTCTGCAGCGGGTTATACATTGATTCTTCGAGTGGCAGGATTACGCGTAGATTTATTGCGAAGGCCTTACGGCCGGCGCCGCCGACCCTGAATGGCGACAACGACGACGACGAGCGCTCTCGGGGGCCTCTTCGGGGTAGTTTGGGGGCCTCTTGGGAAGCTCTGGAGGGCTTGGAAGCCTCGTGGGGGCCTCTTGGGGTCTCTGAGGATCTCTTGGGGGCTTCTTGGGGCTTCTTGCGGGGCTTCTTGGGGACCTCTGGGGTCCTCCTGAGAGCTTCTCAAGCCGAGGGCTCGAAATGTCCGTTCGGGTCCCCCGTCTGGGCTCCTCCTTGGATCCGTCTTTGGGGCCTCTTCGGCTGTCTTGGAGGCCTCTTGGTCGGTCTTGGGGCCCTCTTGGGTCGTTTTGGGGCTCTCTTGGAGGCCTCTTGGGCGATATTTGGACTGTCTTGGGGGCTTCTTGGCCTGTCTTGGAGCGTCGGGAAGCTGACAAGGCGAGAATGCTGAAATCTTTCAAAAACTTAGGGGAAATCCATGATTTTTGCTCCTTGGGGCCCTCTTGGGAGTGCCCTTGGAGTGGGAACTTCCAAAGCTGTCTGGAGGCTATCGCGACTTGGACCGATACTTCGGCGATTCGGGTCCCTCGAGGACATGCTTGGGGGCCTCTCGGGACACTTTTGCTACGTCTTGGGGATTGTCTGGGCTCCCGAACCGCCCGGAGGGGAGTCGTATCTGACCCAGGACCCCCCCCCGGGACTTGCCCCGGGACCCCCCCCGGGACCCCCCCCGGGACACCCCGCAGGACCCCCCCCCGGGACCCCCCCCGGCGGGGAAGGGATCAAAGGGGAGGGGCTTCCCTTCGACTCAACTACAGCGCTGCTCAATTTCGCTGTGGCTGGCGCGCTCGAGGAGGAGGGCCCGGTGAAAGTGGAGGCAGCGGCGCCAGGCTCAGGGAAAGGAGGGGACCGGCGACGGCGACAGCGACGACGACGGCAAGGCAGGATTACGCGTAGATCTCTTTTGCGGTGGATTACAAGTTGATTACCTGTGGTGCGGATTACAACAGCTTTTCTTTGAAAAGGATTTTTTTTGCAACGGTCTTAGCAAAGGACTTCTGGTCGTGACGGCCTTACAACATGATGCACTGTTGTGGCGGCCTTACAGAATGATTTTTCTTGATTTTCTTATACTCGGATGTATACTGCGGCGGCCTTACAACAGGGATTTCCTTCTGTGAGTCATACACCAAGAAACCAACGACAGAACGGGAAAAATACATGTAGCATCCAATGCCACTGCGTAAAATGGTGTGCGTTTTCTCAAACGTCATCAAAATCGGTGTTCAATCATCGGAGTTCGTAGACGCTGTAAAACACGTCGTGTCAGAGCTTCGATGGCTGCAAACACTGTGTTTCAGCGCGTTGCGGACCTTCGATGATGAACACTTTATTGTTGTACAGCGCTTCGGAGCTCCAATACCTGAAAACGAAAGGTTTACAGCGTTTCGTAGCTTCGATGGCTGAACGCGTTGTTTTGCAGTTTCTGTAACCTCCAGCACCAAACCATTTAAATGAAAAAGTTGTCACAGTTGCACGTGATGTTGTATGTGCTTGTGTTCTTTCATTGGCTTCCTCTTGTGCCACTCACAACAGGAAATCCTGTTGTAAGGTAGCCACGCAAGGGATCCGATTGGAAGGCCGCCACTAAGAAAATCATGTTGTAAGGCCGCCACCGAAGGAATCCATGTGTAAGGCCGCCACAACAGGAAATCATTGCGCAAGGTCGCTACGAAAGGAATCCTTTTAGAAGGCCGTCGCAAAGAGAATCAGTTTGCGGTTTCTGGTGCCCGTCCACCCAAATCGGGTGTTGCTAGAAGTGCCCCTAGACCCAGGTGCCCCCAGAGTATTCCAAGGAGGTCCCCACGGCCTCCAGAGCACCAATCACGAGGCCCAAGGGGTTCAGGATCCAGGGGTTCCAAATTGCGCGAAAGGCTGTGGGCACCTTGGGCCAGAAACACAGTTAGCAACCCACAACCATGCGTCAGTCACATCGGCTACGTCAGTCACCTCACCTTCTTTGAGACCTCGATCCCCAGTCTCCTCGGCCCATTCCTCGGGTCGGCCGATCGTCCCGACGTTGCCAAACCATCCTGTAGTGTTGGACTTTCGCGTCGAATCCACAGCGCCCCGCGTCATTCCCGCTCGTCCTCCCGCTCTCTCATTCCTCCCCCCATCCTTGCGTCTGCCCTGCGCATTCTGCACCCCTAACATGCTTCGTGGCCCCATGGGTAGCTCCACCGAAGGCCGAGGGTCCACATGCGGATCCCCGCCCATTTCGGCACATCCTTTATACGTTGCGTGGCCCCACAAAGAGCGCAACCGAAGACGGTTATCATTATTGCGTTACCCGCAGCTGCATTGGGATGGGTCCTTCGGCAGGATGATTATTTTGGGTGGCCCTACGGGAGCCCGACAGGTCCCCGAGGTCCAGAACGGCTAATGAGCGGCGTCTCATCTTCCTGAGCCGTTGGATGTTTGGGCACCTGCAACCAGTTCCAGGCTGTTTCCCGTCCATGACACGGGGGGCACCCAGCTGTTTGGGACGGTCCTGGCATCCCTGGAGCGCCCTCGACGCGGCGCAGTTGATGGCAAGCACCCCCCGTCCCGAAGATTTGAGGAAATTGTCGGAGACGTGGTAACAGTACGGGAAACAACGAGACACGTTTCCCAACCATCTTGTGTTGGGTCCACGTTGTGAAGAGACAGCGCCCCGCGTCTCCTTCCTCTCCTCTCCTCTCCTCTCCTCTCCTCCTCCCCCTCCTTCCTCCCGCTCCTCCCTCCTCCCCCTCCTCCCACCATCAGCAAGCCGAAGGCCCCAGTGGCAGGGTTCGCATGCAGTTCCACCCTCATTTCGACGCACCCCTCACACGGTTCGTGGCCCCATAGGGAGGTCCACCGAAGGCCCCAGCGGCAGGCGTGCAGTTCCACCCTAATTTCGGCGCACCCCTCACACGGTTCGTGGCCCTATAGGGGCTCCACCGAAGGCCCCAGTGGCAGGGTTCGCATGCAGTTCAACCCTCATCTCGGCGCACCCCTCACACGGTTCGTGGCCCCATATGAAGGTCCACCGAATGCCTCAGTGGCAGGGTTCGCATGCACCTTCATTTCGGCGCACCCTTCACAAGGCTCGTGACCACAGGGAGCTCCATCGGAGGCCCCAGTGGCAGGGTTCGCATGCAGTTCCACCCTCATTTCGGCGCACCCCTCACACGGTTCGTGGCCCCATAGGGAGGTCCACCGAAGGCCCCAGCGGCAGGCGTGCAGTTCCACCCTAATTTCGGCGCACCCCTCACACGGTTCGTGGCCCTATGGGGGCTCCACCGAAGGCCCCAGCGGCAGGGTTCGCATGCAGTTCAACCCTCATCTCGGCGCACCCCTCACACGGTTCGTGGCCCCATATGAAGGTCCACCGAATGCCTCAGTGGCAGGGTTCGCATGCACCTTCATTTCGGCGCACCCTTCACAAGGCTCGTGACCACAGGGAGCTCCATCGGAGGCCCCAGTGGCAGGGTTCGCATGCAGTTCCACCCTCATTTCGGCGCACCCCTCACACGGTTCGTGGCCCCATAGGGAGGTCCACCGAAGGCCCCAGCGGCAGGCGTGCAGTTCCACCCTAATTTCGGCGCACCCCTCACACGGTTCGTGGCCCTATGGGGGCTCCACCGAAGGCCCCAGCGGCAGGGTTCGCATGCAGTTCAACCCTCATCTCGGCGCACCCCTCACACGGTTCGTGGCCCCATATGAAGGTCCTCCGAATGCCTCAGTGGCAGGGTTCGCATGCACTTTCATTTCGGCGCACCCTTCACAAGGCTCGTGACCACAGGGAGCTCCATCGGAGGCCCCAGTGGCAGGGTTCGCATGCAGTTCCACCCTCGTTTCGGCGCACCCCTCACACGGTTCGTGGCCACATAGTGAGCTCCTTCGAAGGCCACAGCGGCAGGGTTCGCATGCAGTTCCGCCCCCATGCCGGTGCTTTTCTCAGACGGTTCGTGGCCCCATAGGGAGTTCCACCGAAGGCCCCAGCGGCAGGGTTCGCATGCAGTTCCACCGTCATCTCGGCGCACCCTTCACACGGTTCATGGCCCCCTAGGAAGCTCCACCGAATGCTTCAGTGGCAGGGTTCGCATGCAGTTCCACCCTCATTTCGGCGCACCCCTCACACGGTTCGTGGCCCCAAAGGGAGCTCCACCGAATGCTTCAGTGGCAGGGTTCGCATGCAGTTCCACCCTCATGTCGGCGCAACTCTCACACGATTCGTGGCCCCATAGGGAGCTCCATCGAAGGCCTCAGAGGCAGGGTTCGCATGCAGTTCCACCCTCATTTCGGCGCACCCCTCACACGGTTCGTGGCCCCATAGGGAGCTCCACCGAAGGCCCCAGCGGCAGGGTTCGCATGCAGTTCCACCCTCATTTCGGCGCACCCCTCACACGGTTCGTGGCCCCATAGGGGCTCCACCGAAGGCCCCAGTGGCAGGGTTTGCAGGCAGTTCCACCCTCATCTCGGCGCACCCCTCTTCGTGGCATCATAGGGAGTTCAATTGAAGGCCCCAGTGGCAGGGTTCGCATGCAGTTCCACCCTCATTTCGGCGCACCCCTTCACACGGTTCGTGGCCCCATAGGGAGCTCCACCGAAGGCCCCATTGGCAGGGTTCGCATGAGGTTCCACCCCCAAGTCGGCGCATCCTTCAAATGTTCCGTGGCCCCATAGGGAGCTACACCCAAGACGATACTCACAATTGCGGCACTCACAATTGCATGTGGTTGGGTCCTTCGCCAGGCTAAGTTTATTCGTCCTCCACCTCCACCTCCACCTCCTTACTCTCCTCCCCCTCCTCCGCCTCCCTCCGTCTGCTCTTGCCCCCCACCTGCGCGCGCAGCCCCTTCCTCCCCCAAGTGTTCGAGGCTGGCGCTCGGCGAGAGTCGGCATCCTTGAGGCATGCTCGTTCGCAGTCTGCATCAGAATCAGCATCACGCTCCTCGGGCAGGGTGCATGCTCCTCCCCGTCCCCCTTCAAATTTTCAACTACAAACCAATATACTGGGTCAGCTGGAGTCCTTGCCCCCTCTCCTTTTCAGCAGCAGCAGCAGAGCGTTGCTCCTCCTCCCTCCTCATCCCCCTGAAGTGCCACGCACATCGTCGTAGTCGCCCTGGCCGCGCAGGGCCGCCTGAGTGCCCCGCCTGCGTGGGACTGCGTCGCTTTTTCTTGGATTCGCGTTTCAGGCTAATGTCCCTGCGATATGTCGGCCCCTGTTTGGGCGTGTCGGTCAGTCCCTTCGCTCGGTGTCTCGTGTTGCCTTCGCCTCGCTCGTGTTGGGGGGCTCTCGTTTGGCCCCCCCCCCCAGCTGCGTGCTGCGCACGTACAAATGCCAGGGAGTACGGGCTTGACGCCAACCCACGCTCCAATACGGTAGGTTTGCGTCGTGTCGACCAGCGGCGACCCCAGCGCGGGCGTTCAAGGTTGAACGCCGCCGGCGACCCAGAATCGATCGACGTTGAACGATCGGACGTTGCGGCAGCGGCCGATCGTTCAAGGTTGAACAATCCCTGCGGTGTCAAAAACCAACGCTGGGGTCGACACGACACGAACCTGCCGTACATCCTCTCCCCTCTCCTCTCCTCCCTCCCCCTCTCCCTCCTCCCTCCCCCTCCTCCTCCCTCCTCCCTCCTCCTTCCTCCCCCTCTCCCTCCTCTCCTCCTCCTCCCTCTTTCCTCCAATCCCTCTCCTGGGGAGCCTCGTCCTCGTGACGCGCCCCGACCAGGAGGCGCCGCCGCCGCCGCCGGCCCCCGTCGGCGTCCGCCCCGCCCGCGGGCCCCTGCTGGCCACCGCGGCGCCGTTCCAGCCCCGTGGCGCCACCGCGACCCGAGGCGCTCATCGCCCAGGGATGAGCAGGCGGAGGAGGAGGAGGAGGAGGAGGAGGAGGAGGAGGAGGAGGAGGAGGAGGAGGAGGAGGAGGAGGGGGGGATTGAGGAGAAGGGAGAGGAAGCAGGGGAGGAGAAGGACGAGGACGAGGAGGAGGAGGAGGAGGAGGAGGAGGAGGAGCAAGAGGACGAGGGGGGGGGAGGAGAAGGGGGGCCGGGGCCCTGGTGCGCGGGAGCATGGCCTATGCGGCGCCCAGAGGGCGGGGGGCTCACAGTCACAAGTGTGTTGGGCTCTTGCCACGGGCCGGCTCGTGGGCGCGACGGGGGGCAAAGGCCGAGGAGGAGGGGGGGGCCTACGCTGCTCAAAGGCTCTCCAAATCGTTTCGAGTTCTGTGCCTGACCACCCCAGGGGGGCGGGAGAAGAGGCGGAGGTGGAGAGCGAGAGGGCGGGAGGGAGGCTGCTGGAGGAGAGGAGGGAGGGGGAAAGGGCAAGCTAGCTTCGCTCCTCAATATCCTTAACCATGGCGTAGGTATCCTCTCTATTCGCACAATCGGATGTCGAAGCATGGCATAGCATCACATGGCATAGCATGGTGTTGAAGATCAACGCAGCATGACATAGCATGGCGTGGCGACGCCCCAAGTGGGTGGGGCTTCTGCGGCCCAAAAAATCAACGAATCGACACCGAATGCGTAATCACTTCAGATTTGTTCTCGAGGGGGGCATTTTCTAAATTTAAGGGCCTACTGGGAAGAAACAAAAACCATGCCGTGGCATGGCACTGGAAATAATGACGCCAGCGCTGCAGCGGGAGCACGATTCGGAACGAGCGGAAGCGCGGAAATGAGGCCAGCGCTGCAGCGGGAGCACGATTCGGAACGAGCGGAAGCCCAAACATGAGGCCAGAGCTTCAGCGAGAGCAGCACTTGTTAGTGGGGGGGGAGGGAAAATGCGAGCACACAAATTTAGAATTCATACTGTGTAATTGTCGAGAGGTTGAAAGAGGAGGGGGGGAAAGGGGGTTGCTGGAGGAATGGATGGAGGCGGGGAGGACGAGAGGTTGAGAGGGGGGGGTGGCGGGAGGGGGGGCTGGAGGAGGAGAAAGGGGGGGGGGGAGCGCGAGGAGGGGGGGGGCGGGAGGCGCTGGAGGAGGGGAGGGAGGGGGAGGAGGAGGAGGGTGTGAGGGGGGGGGGGGGCGGAGCGGGGGCGGGCAGCAGGGCGACCACGAGGGGGTGTCCCGCGGGCGGCCCTGCCCTCGCTCGCCGCTCGGCCGCTCTCGGCGCGCCCGCGCCTCGGGCAGCTCTCGGCGCGCAGGGGCAGGAAGAGCAGGAGGGAGGGAGCGGCCCAGAGCTCCGACGCTCCGCCAAAAGCTTGAGCGGCGGGCTGTTTGGCCGTTGTCATCCTCCGGGGGCCCTCGCCGGGCCTCGGGGGCCGTCGATTCAACGACCCGGGACGAACAGCTCGCCCCGGGGGCAGGAAGAGCCGGAGAGAGCGCTGGGGGCTGGCGCGGCCTACTTGGGCGGCGGCGGGGGGGGCGCGGGCGCCCGGCGCGCGGGGCGAGCGCGCGCGGTCCGCGGTCCGCGGCTGCGTGCGCCCGCGCCCCACCGAGAGCCCCAGGGCTCCCTGCGGACTCGGAAGCCCTCGGGGCCGAGGGAGGCATGAAGCAGGGGGCTGATGGGTGGGAATTTAAACACAGCGTCTCGCGCCGCCCGTTCTGGCCCACCGCGCTGCGCGGCGCGACGCGCCATCCAGGCGTCAATGTCGCGGACTGTTCCCAGCCTCCCGCCCAGGGGACAGGTTGCAGGGCTCTCACAGAGGCAGGAGGCGGCCAAGGCGAGGAGGAGAAGGAGGAGGAAGAGGAGGAGGAGGAGGAAGGAGCGCGCCCACAGGGCTTCACCCGAATCGGCCTCGACCGCTGTTCGGATCAAAACTTCGCTAAGCAAATTAGGAACACCACGTGTCAGCGCCTCGTGGCGGCGCGCACAAGGGGGTAGTGGGAGGGGGAATGTGTCTTAGAAGGAGGTTGTTTCTTTGAAGGCGCCAGCCCTACATCTATACATCTAAACGGAAGGCCCGCGCCTTCCAAAAGACAGGGCTGCGTCTCAGAAGTCTTCCCCACTCCTCCTACCTCCCGCTGCGAGTGGCTGACCCTCTTCGATTTATCCCTCCTGCTGGCAGCGGCGGGTGAGTCTGTGCACACTCGCGCGTCGCAACCCCCTTCAGCCTCTGCGAGGCCAGCAGGAAGGTGCACGTCGCCTCAAGGAGTTGATGAGGGCGGCGATTAGGGCGGCAACCACGCCCGGGCTCTGCTTTCAATTGTTTGCACCTGCACCCAGATACCGGCAGGCAGAAAACGCGGGCGGAAGATTTCTCTTGGCGCTTGCTATGCTTTGGACGATCGTCACGGACAGCGACCGCGCTCGGAGACCACCCCTCGCGCGCCCGCTATGGTGTTGAGAATATGCCACGCCTGCTATACCCTGGACGACAGTCGCGGATAGCGGCCGCCCTCAGAGTCCACCCACGCGCGCCCCCTTTATGGCGTCGAGAGTCTGCCACACATGCTATGCGATGGACGATCGTCACGGGTAGCGGCCGCCCTCAGAGACCACCCGCGTGCGCACCTCTTCATGGTGTCGAGAACACGCCACGCCTACTATGCCCTGGACAACCGTCTCGGATAGCCGCCGCCCTCAAAGAGCATGTTGGGAGCACTCCTTTATGATGCTGAGAACTTGTCACGCCGAATATGCCCTCGACGACGGTCACGGAGAGCGGCCGCGCTCAGAGACCACCTTTTGCGCACCCCCTACGGTGTCGAGAATATGCCACGCATGTAATGCCCTGGACGACAGTCACGGATAGCGGCCGCGCTCAGAGACCATTCCGTGCACACCCCTTCTATGGTGACGAGAATACGCCACGCGTATTGTACCTTGGACTACCGTCACGGGTAGCGGCTGCCCTCAGAGACCACCCCGTGCGCACCCCTGTTTTATGGTGTCGAGAATATGCCGCACCTGCTGTGCCCCAGACGACCGTCACGGATGGCGGCCGCCATCAGAGACCACCCCCGTGCGCACCCCCGCGTTGGTGAGAGTACGCCACGCGTGCTATGCCCTGGACGACCATCACGGGTAGCGGTTGGTCTCAGAACCACCCCGTGCGCACCTTGTTTTACGATGTCGAAAATGCGCCACGCTTGCGATATTTTGGACGACCGTTACGGACAGCGGCCGCCATCAGAGACCACCCTTGTGCGCATTGTTTATGGTGTCGAGGACATGCCACCACTTCTATGCCTTGGGCGACCGTCAGATAGCGGCCGCGCTCAGAGACCCTTCCTTGCGCACCCCTTGCACTTGCTATGCCTTGCGCTAACGTCGTATGGTGTATATGTGCGTGTGCGTGGTTGTAGATAGGTGTATGTATGGTGTTTAGAGCGCGCCAGGTGTCATCCCTTTCCATTATGCGTGCAACGTGTATGTATGTGTATGTGTCTGTGCGTGCGCGTGCGTGTGCGTGTGTGTATGTGTGTGGCACGTGGTGTGCGGTTGCACGTGTGGGTACATGTGTGACGTTGTGACGGCTACGACTAATGCATATGTATGACGACGAGCGAGATACAGGATGGTGAGGGGTCTGTGCGTGTGGGTGTAATGTGTGTTGTGTGATGTGTGGTGTGTGTTGTGTGTTGTGTGGTGTGTGGGTTGGTTGGTGTGTGGTGTGTGGCGTGTGATGGGTATTGTTGTGTGTGTTGTGTGTGCGTGTGCGTGTGGGTGTGTGTGTGTGGGGGGGGGGGGGCCTGGCCCCTTCCCCCCTCGGCGCGATCATGGGTCGGCTCTTCCCTTGCGGCACTCCCCCAAGCGTTTGCCGCATATAAGCAGCGCATAGAGAAGAGGGGGGGGGCGCTCGCCGTCGGTGTGTTTGTGTCACGTGGTGTGCGGTTGCACGTGTGGGTACATGTATGACCTTGTGACGGTTACGACGAATGCATATGTATGACGACGAGCGGGACATAGGATGGTAAGGGGTGTTTGTGTGTGGGTGCGATGTGTGTTGTGTGGTGTGTGGTGTGTGTTGTGTGGTGTGTGTTGCTTGTTGTGTGTTGTGTGTGTGTTGTGTGATGGGTAGTGTTGTGTGTGGTGTGTGTGCGTGTGTGCGCGTGGGTGTGTGCGTGTGTGCGTGCGTGCACGCGTGCGTGCGTGCGGGTGTGTGTTGTGTGTTGTGTGTTGTGCGTTGTGCGTTGTGTGGTGTGTGTGTGTGTTGTGTTGTGTGGTGTGGTGTGGTTTGTGTGGTGTGCGTGTGTTGTGTGTGATGGTGTGCGTCTGTGCGTCTGTGCGTGTGTGCGTGCGTGCGTGCGTGCGTTCGTGCGCGCGTTCTTGCGACTGTATGTGTGTATGCGTGTGCGTGCGAGGAAGACGCGGGTGCGACACGGGTGTTAAGAGAACAAGGCCCCACGAAACATGTGGGAAGCAACACATAGATCGTAAGAAATAGTTTGGCGAAGAACCCAACCATATGTTGTTATGCACTTACGGGCACCGTCGTTGTATGCACCACATTCGTTGGAGCTCCCTATGGGCCCACGAAACGTGTAGGGGTACGGCATGCCAAACATTTTGCGGCTGCCGCATGCGAGCGTTGGCATTTGGGGATTCGGTGGAGCGCCCCATGGGGCCACGAAGCGTGTGAAGGGTGTACCAGAATGGGCGCAGTGGGCGCATGCGAGCGCTGGCATCTGGGCCTTCGGTAGAGCTCCCGATGGGGCCACGAAGCGTGTGAGGGATGTGCCACAATGAGGGGGGTGACGGGAATGCCAAACTGGCTGAGGGTGGGAGGAGGGAGGAGCGGGAGGAGGGAGGAGCGGGAGGAGGAGGAGGAGGAGGAGGAGGAGGAGGAGGAGGGGAGAGGAGGAGGAGGGGGGGAGCGGGAGGAGGAGGAGGGGGGAGCGGGAGGAGGGGAGAGGAGAGGAGGGGCGCGGGGACCGTCTCTTCAAAATGAGGACCCGACACCGCGGAGTGGTCGGGAACAGATTCCCTCGCCGCTGCCACGGCGAGGGTCGAGCCGAGGAGGACCTGCGCTGGAGGAGGCCCTGCCTCGGGGAAGGGGGGCGCCCTGGGCGCCGCGCGGCTCGGCACCGAGGCGCTCAGCTGCTGGCACGGGGCGCCGCCGAGAGGACCGCGCGGGGGGGCGCCGAGGTCCATCCGCTGCCCAGCCCGCCCAGGGGAGAGGCTCGGCGGCAGAGTGCGAACCCTGCCTGCACCTCGGAGGAGGAAGGGGCACCCACAGCCACGGCCTCCCCTCGTTTTTTTCCCCTGGATGGGCCTCCCGGGAGGCCCTCGCCGCCACCGCCGGCTGCGCTCCAAGAGTTCGGTCGGAACGCACCCCGGGAGAGGTCTCGGGAGGAGCGGCTTCGGCATCGTTGGGTGTCCCCCTCGTCGATCAGCGAAATTCAGGCAGTTCGAGGGACGTCGGGGGCAGGGCTTGGAACTCGTGGAGCACGGGGCGAAATCCGAACCCTGCCCCCGCCTCCCATCGTAGGGCGACGAGATCTATGCATATCCACTGCTCCTGGCCAGGCCAATCCTGGGCCCAGGAGCGGTGTATACGCCCTCCTGGCCTGGCCAGGGAGGCATATACACAGCTCCTGGGCCCAGGATGGGCCTGGCCAGGAGCAGTGGATATGCATAGATCTCGTCGCCCTACATCGGTTCAGGAGAATGGGTGGCTGGTGGGGTCAGGGGCTCGGACGTCGCCACCGGAAGACTCGGCCGGGGAGGGGACTGGGCCGCCCTGGACCTCTGGGCGCCCTCGCCCGGCCGCGGTGCCGTCCACAGACGGCCCCGGGGCCCAGGAGAACAGACCGGCCCCAGGGAAGGGGCTGGGACTGCCGGGGACCCGTGCATCGACGATGCTCGGGAGCCTTGAGACGGGGGTCAATGCAAACGGGGGTCAGCCAGAGCGCCGGATCTTGCAGGATCCTGCAGGGCCAGGGTCGCATTGACCCGGGTTTGGGTGCAGGATCCTGCAGGATCCTTCCCATTGATCCGGGTTTGGGTGCAGGGTCTTGCAGGAACTTGCAGGATTCTGCAAGACTTGACTGACCCGGGTCTGGATTGACCCGGGTCAGAAGATCCCCGAGATGCATCGCCTATGCATCGGCGATGAGTCGACGATGCGGAGCGATTCCCAAGCCCCCATCGACAGTCGATCGAGTCGAAGCCGATGGTAAGGATGGGTAGTTCGCCCAAGGTGCCCTTGCATCCTTCCCTCCTCGGTCCACCCTTAACCCCGTTCGATGGCCAGCCCCTCTCGAAAAGCTTCGACATGTGCGTCCAAGGGGCTTGCAACCTTATCGCGCATCCTTACTATTATCAGTTCCGATTGTATTCGGACCTTAGTTGGGGGGCCTCAGCAAGGGACAGATTCGGCCAGGCGAATCTCGGCCATGCTGAACTCGGCCAGCGGAACTCGGCCAGGAGCTCGGCCCAGACCGAATTCAGCCTGGCCGTGTTCAGCCTGGCCGAGTTCAGCCGGCTGAGTCTAGTCTGGCCGAGTTCAGCTGGCCGACTTCAATTTAGCTGAGTTGTTTCTGGCCAGATTTCGCTGCTGCATTTGTAGGGTCCATGTCGTCCCGGTTCGATATCGATCCGATATCGATCCCATCTGGCCCGATCCGATTAGATTCCGATGCCCTCCCTGGCAGTCCGATGCGGCCCAGTGCTCGCATGGCGCTGTTGTGCGTCCTAGCGCAGCTGGTCCAGTTCGATGTCTCGGTTCCGTGCCGATGCGGCCAGATCCGACGGTCGTTCCGATTCGGTCGGGCTCCCCGATTCGATGCTGACGGGTATTGCCTTTTGTGCTGCTGCCAATGCATCTGGCGTCTTTCAAGAGGGGAGGAAAGACGCGTACACAAACAAACGTTCAATTCCAGGGAAATATGGGAAACATGGGAAGTTGAGGGGAAGACGAAAGTACAGAAAGTATTGAAAACTATGGGGAGTCCTCGTATATGTGTCTATGCATGTGTGTCTCCCTGGGCTTCTTTAGTTTTGAAGCAGCCCAGAACCAATCGACCCCACCCCACATGCGGCGATGGCGCGCCGGCGACGCTGGCGAAGGCGCTCAAGGTTGACCTCCGCACGATGGACGATGCGGAACCACCTAGGGGCACGGTAACGCCACAGGACCCGACGGAACCCAACCTAGTACGATCGGGGCCGCGATCGGTTCAAGGTTGAACGATCGAGGCGGTCTCAAAAACCTTTTCGCGCGCCGACGCCGCACGAACCTGCAGTATGTGTATGCAGGTTCGTGCTTCTGCTTATGCCGTTTTCTATGCTTCTCCGTGGAAGTCTCAAAGGTCTTCCGTGTGTCGGCCTCGGGGGCGGCCAGTCTCGGGCCCCGGGGGCCGTCAGACAACCACGTCTGGGGAGTTGGGGAGAGCCGGCTCGGGGGGGCCCGGGGCCCCGTCCCGGGGAGGGAAGCCTTCGAGGAGCCATTGCTGAAAATGTCGGGACCTCGGATACGATCGGACCGAGGTATACGATCGAGGTCGATTCGGGGGGGGGGTACCCTGACATTTTCCATGTTTAGTTGGGTGTTCGTATGCAGCCTGGGGGAGGGTGCCCTCGAGTGTTCTGTGCGTGTTGGCTGGCGGAGGGTCGCGTTTTCTTGAAGGATGTTGTTCTGTCCTAGTTCCGGCCGTATTTGGGCGCGCCTCCCCTGAGATCCATGCGTGGCATGTTTTTCACACTGGACGCTCTCGCCTGATTCGTCGATTTTTCCTGGGCCCCTCGCGAATGGAGCCTGTACGGAAAGCAGTGAAGAAAGTTTGGGTCTAGGGATCCGTCCGCGATGTCTCAGGACGTTGGTTGCGTTTTGTCGCGACTTCGGATCTCAGCACGTCGTCCCCTCGAGCGTGAGAAACTAGCAAACATCGTAAACATAAGTTTTGGGAGGTTCGCTGGGGTCTGCAAAAGTAGCACTAAACAAATCAGCCCCGAACATGATAAAAGAAGCAGCGCAGCGTTTTTGGGCTGGCGCTGCCCACACACACACACACACACACACACACACACACACACACACACACACACACACACGCACACACACGCACTCAACGCGCCTGAGAAGAGATGTTGGAAGGGGGGGTGGGCGGGTCCAGCGCTGATGCGCGCAATGCCTAATTGTATTTTCTAGTCCCACTTTTAAGGGGAAGCGCTGCCTGGGGACTAGAAACAGAATCAGGTGAGAGAGGAGATGAGTATTCGTATTGTGTTATTGTGCAGGGGAGGGGGAGGGGGGGGGGGGAGGAATTTCAAAGAGGGGAGGGGCGAGAAGGCGGGCGGTGCAGCTGGGGGGGGGTCCCCTCCCATCCGCCCTCCTCATCCTCTCCGCAGGACGCGCCAGTCGACCCAGCAGGCGGCGGCGAAGGTACCTCGACGGCCACGGGGGGGTGGGCGGGGGAAAGCCTCGGGATCTCCATGGAAGAGACGTACGCACCCGTCGCGCCGGCAGCAGGAGTGTGCATGATGCCCCCGCTGGGGAAGTACCCAGACCTGCAGAGACTCCAAATTCCGAGTCGGAGGTTGTTCGCCATCTTGGCCCTTTCGGGGCCCCTTTCGAGCTCCAGGGCCGCCGCCAGAAACAGCTCGAGATGCGGAGCTGGTCCCAGGTGAAGGGGTCAGGAGGCTTGGATTTCCAAGACCAAAATTCAGAGCAGACCGAGGGTCGGCATGTTTGACGCTCTCGTGTTTCTCTTGCCGACCTCCAGAGACCACCAGAAATGAGAAGGAGAACGGTCGGTCGGTCGCGGCGTCATATCAGTTTGTGTGCAAATCAGCGTGTGAGTCTGATTTCCCCAGGGCGAAGGTATGAACGGGTTACGCGACCTTGGGAGAACACAGTACAATGCAAACATCTCGTCGCAGACACGTCAGGGACAGCAACAATCAAGTCAGTGAAGCACGGGAGGCAGTGGCTATGGTATGCGCGTGGATCCGCTCACAGACACAATCCGTTGCGTAGTCTATCGACTGGCAGTTCAAGATAGGCATCAAGATAGCCAATTACGATCGTGTGTTGCTGCAGACCTCTAGACTCCAACCATCCCGCCTCCAGCCTGCAGTCGGCCATATGAACCGCGTCCATGGGTGGAAAATACCCGTGGACCCCAAAACAGGGGGTGCGAGGGTAGGTCAGTACAGCCCAAACCAGCGTTTGCCAAGATTGACCAGAAGAGCGAAAACCCGTGTCTGCGAGAATAGGCCAGCACATCCAAAATATAAGCCTTACTTTGGACCCAGCCCCGGCCCTCTTGTTGGGGCCCTTGGCATGCAGATAATAGGAATCACTTCGCGCATCGACTCAGCTTGCCTAATGCATTTGGATAGAGACACCCACCAATGGAGGACGAGCTCAATGTCAAACAACACAGCCGGGCCGCGAGGGAATGCAATGACCCTCCTCGGCCTCCATTTCGTGGTGCCGTAGACCTCTGGGTTCCAACCATCTGGCATTCAGCAGCAGGATCATACGAACCATAATTTGTCGATTAGAAGCCAGCGCAACCAAATCCAATGTTTACGAGGACAGTCAAATTATCATAAGCAAGGTGCCAGTACAGAAAAGGAGGACGGAGGAGGGAGGAGGGCGAGGATGGACAAGCGGGAGCGCGCTCAAGGATTAGGGAGGAGGAGAAAGAGCGCGAATGTCCAACGCAGCGCGCTTATCTGGGACGCTGTGTACTTGCACATGTGGACGTGTTTCACGCTGTGAAGGAAGGGAGGTGTTCCAGAGGCCAGTGGCGATTTCGAAACCGTTAAAGGCAACCACGTGCACATGAAGCTTGCTGTGAGCTATTCTCTGCCGCTGCATGTCCCAGCGCTCCCGTTCCTGCCCGCTGTCGCTTCCGTTGCCTCTCCATCTTCGCCTCCTCCTCCTCCTCCTCCTCCTCCTCCTCCTCCTCCTCCTCCTCCTCCCCCTCCTCCTCCTCCTCCTCCTCCTCCTCCTCCCCCTCCTCCTCCTCCTCTCTCCCCGCGCCGCCCCCCACGCGCGCCGCGCGGCCCAGACCTCCTCCTCTGCCCCAGCCCTGCCTCGGAGGTGCTCGAGTCGAGGTACCTCGGCATTGTGCGGGAGGCTCGCTCCAACAGGGGCCCTGGAGGGCGGGGGGCGGCGGCCTGCCGGGAGGCTCCACGTCGATCTGGTCGAGCCGACTCGATGCCGATGCTGGCCGGCTCGATCCGATTCGACGCCGACGTGCCGACGATCCGATGCGGCCCGATGCTCGCATGGCGCTGCTGAGTCCGATTCCGACTCCATGCCGATGCGGCCCAACGGAGCAGGCTGGGGGGCAGGAGCAGGCATCGCAGAGAACGGGCATCGCCTGCGGAGAGCGGGTCGAGGTGCCGAGGATGGAGGAGGAGGCGAGGAGAAGACGAGGATGAGGAGAATACACGAGAAAGGAGGCGAGAGGAGAAGAAGGAGAAGGAGGAGGGTGACGACGACGACGACGAGCGAGCAGGACGGGGAGAACGAGCGAGGGTGCGGTTGTCAGGCCCATGTCAGCCTCTCCTCCTCCTGCACCTCCTTCTGAACTCCCCTGTGCGCCACCATGTCGGCTCACAAAGGCCCTTGAGTCAGATCGGCGCGCAGGCGACGGGCGCGCCCTGGCCCCCGTAAAAGGAAAGAGAACGTGCTCTCTCACAGCACGGCCCCCCCCCAATTGTATTTCGTGTCTCTCCGTGTTCCGTACAGTTACTCCCGTACATAACATTCCACAGTGGCAGCGGAGCCTGAGGTTCAGATCCACGAACGGAGATAGGACGACTCCCCAGTCATTCAATTATCGGTTGACATACTCTTTACTCTTATCCCGTTCTTCCCTCTCTCACCCTATTGCACCGAGCGCCGCCATGGATTCTCCAGACGACGCTCAGGCTCAAGAAGATGGGCTTCCAGCAAGTCCTTGGTTACAACGGTCCGCGGGCAGGAGCCGGAGGACGAGAAGACGTCCCTTGGGAAGGTGATGACGACGTGGGCTGGTCAGATCAAGACTGGGCCCGCCGGTTCTCACAGCCTTGGACGGAATCGCAGCCCAACACGCAACTATCCTCATCAGATTGGGCTGCGCGGGGCCATGGTTCGCCGGCTGCACCAGATCGGCAGAAAACGCTTCTGCGAGGACACGCTATGTTTTTCTATTCCTTTCGATCCGACCTATTGGGGAGGTACCACTGTCGGAGGCCCCAAAGATACCAAACGACCGACCTCCCACTTGGGACGAAAAAGATCATGATCTTCGTTGAGAGCCTCATATGGGGGAGCTGCAGATGTGACCCGCGAGTACCGAAATTCTGACAGCTGAACGGGGATATCTCGTCTACCGCTATGCCAAAAACGACCTCAACATCAGCATTCGCAAACTCACCGAGGACCAGTTGTTTTCAGAGGAAGGCGGCCAGGTCGTGGTCAAACAGATTAAGCAGGGTCCTGCCAAATACCAAGGCCGCAGGATGCCGAAGGTTTTTGAGCAATGTTTCTAGTCTGACGGCACCAAGCGTAAGCAAGACGAATCCCCGGTCAACTACATTGCGCGTAAGCTCCTGCCAGAGGGCTTGAAAGGGCACGTGCTTCTTAGAGATTCCAAGTTCAACAACGCTGCTTGGCACACGGTCGAGCACTGAACAGAGGGAACATACGGGTTTGATCTGGCGCGCGACAGTTTCGGAAGCTTGAACGACCGCTTCCTTCTGGCAAAGACGGCCAATGCATCCATGGCACGAAATCCTCCTCGCACTGTGTCTGATAACAAGGATATGACGACGGATGCGGGGACCCGGAGTCGGACCACGACGACCTTCGATAGATCATCATGGAACAGTATTTGTTTACCTTGCCCGAGTCCTATGAGGAAGACGAGATCCTGAATGAGGTTCTCAAGTACACGGACGGCGAAAACGAATTCTTCGCAGCTGGGGACATTCCCGACGACGTGGTTCTAGGACGAGGCCGTCGCCATCTACGCTAACTACAGTCAGGCACGACAGCACTTACACAAACGGAAGCTCCGACGAGGCTTTGCCCGACCGAAGCGGGGAACCAAAAGCAAGTTGATGAGTCGCTCGAAATGTGCCCGACGCGAAAGGATGGGACGCTGGATTCGGGATTGTACGAACGAGCCAGACGAGCGAGGACGCGAGCGACGCGCAGGCTTCGGCGGCTTCCAAGCAGTTCCCCTTGAAGCAGATGATTGGCTGCGCGACGTTCGCCAACGGGACCTACCTTTTTACCTTTCCTATCCTCGCGACTGCCGATACTAGAGATCAGGCGCGCATTGGACTTCAGGTTCGCATGGGCTTCGGACCGCTGCATACTAGAGCTCAGCATGGAGTGCGCGGCAAAGATCAGCTCGAGAAAATGGCGGAATATCTGGGAGATACCTCTGGTCTGAGGCTACCAAGTTTCTCTCCAGCTGGACCTTGCCTGTTGCGGTGGCAAAGAATTGCGGTGCTCTTACGGTGAGTGCGATTGCTTGTGATGTGCCCTTACTGCTTCCAGTGGAGATGCTTGGACAGCTTGGCATGGTTCTTGATTTGCCGGGTGGCGCCATCACTTAGCACTCGACGGCAGCCAATGGAGATTGCACGAGGTAGGGGCAGGCAAACACACTGCGACCCACATGTTCGACTTCACCGATGACTCTCCCAAGACTCGGGGGCGCGACCGGGTAGTCGAGCCTGAGGACGCCGCATCCCACGTGAGTCCGCAGGCACCCTCAGCCCAAATATGTCTTTCTCGGCCACCTGCCCATTTCCGCAACATTCCGCGCGACGTGGAGCCGCGCGGAGCGCGCCCTCATCAAGAAGGAGCCGCAGCCGAAACCTCCGAGCACCGGCAGATGCAGTCACCCCACAACGGCCCAAGAGAAGCGGACGTGGAAATATATGCCAATCGTTCTGAAGCTGGTCTCCATTCTGGACCGCGCGGCCATAGGGCGCCGCGCGGAGGCCCGCACCGGGGCGAACACGCACAAGAGTTTGCTCGGGGACGCCAGGAACCTGGACCAGGAGGCGGCACCATCCACGCAACAGCCCTGCGATCCGCAACCTTTGTCCCGAGCCCTGGAGATCATCAGCGGGGAGTGGTTCGCGGCGGGAAGGAGGCTGGAGCGGCTGGAGCCCGACGGCTCGGGCATCGGGAAGATTGGCCAGGCCGCCTGAACGCGCCCCGAGAAAGCCATGCGCCATCGGTGCAACAAAATTGGCCCTGCGGTGGACGTGCGACGTTTGCCACGGGCGCTGGATGAGGCCCCCGATCGACGGCTTCATCAGCACGGGCATCCCACGCGACCAGGAACGAGTGACGTTCGGGAGGATTGCGGGTTGCACCTCCAAGGAGATCTACGAGATGGACCTGCAGCATTGCGAGCGGCGCACGAGGACTCACGAGTCGGGCGACCCAGCGTCGCATCGAGGATTCAGACGCTTGCCCGCGCGCGCGGCCGAGCGCGAGATGCGCGGGAACATCGTGGACGGGCGCGGCTTCGAGACGGTCGCGGAGGAGCGCGACATCCGATGGATCCGCGGGCAGCAGGCGTTTTTTCAATGGTCGCAGGGCACATGTCCGCGCACATCGCGAACCCCGCGACACCGTTTTCAATCCGACCGACCCCGCCGGCACCCCATCACCAGATGATTTTACCAGCGAGCGGATGACAGAGGGCATCCACTCAGATGACACTACCAACTGTTTCCAGGATACTTGTCCGAGCCACCTCCTGTCATTGGAACGATGGAACGGTTCTCTATCAACAGGCCAGGCAGATCGAGCAGGCACTCTCAGTGAACAATACCAGCCTCAGCCTTCCTTTGGAAACAGCTCCTGTCGATGATCCCAGCGCCGAACCTGATGGCGGCGATGAAGTACCTGCTCAGCCAGACTGGACACCAACTGCCGACCAGCTGACCGACCTCAAACCTGCTCATGACAATATTGGTCAGCCTGGGAATCGAGATTTCGCTCGGCTTCTGAGACGCGGCAATGCTGAGCCCGAGGTAGCACACTGGGCGCGGAACAATTTTAAGCGGACGAGTGCAATGCGCACAAACGACCTCATGCTCGCCGTCCTGCCGCAATTCTTAAAGTCCGATCCTTTCAACCACGCTGTCGGCATTGATTTGGTTGAAGTCAAGGGCCCACTCGATGGGATATATATATATATATATATTGCGTTGGGGCTCTGCCCCTCAGTTGGATTAACATGTGGGGGCAGTGCCAGCAGATGTAGCATGGCAGGCATTTGTGCGCACATGGGCACGAGTGTTTGGCATGCCAGAAGGCTGTCGCAGTTGATCCCGGCATGGGTTGCAGGGAACGCGCGCCGATGACGCACAAGACATCGGCGTGTACATTTCCCCACTGATGCCCGCTCTCCATGGCAAAACGGTCGAACGGAACGCGCTGGAAAAGAATGGAAACGACAGCTCCGTTTAGCCGTTCATCGGGTCGCCTCGGATACTCCAGCCGAACGGCATGCCATGGGGGAATTGCGTTGTTCTGTTCGGAACCGTTACCAGAAGCGGAGCGGTCTCTCACCCATACAACGGGCTTGCGGCTACACACAACGTCTACCAGCGACATTGCTCTCCGACCCATCAATCCCGAGCACCTGTTCACCGATCCAGTGCAGGATTTCCACCGAGCGGAAGAACTACGCCGAGCCGCGATGAATGACTAGACTGCCATAGGCAGCCGAACTCAACTACCCCGAGTCCTCCGTGCCAGACACCGTACACCACCTACACCTACCTTCACGGATGGTAAACTCGTTTTTGTTTGGAGACAAGGACGAGTTGGCTCGGGGACGTGGTCTGGACCTGGCGTGATCATCCTACCTGCTGCTGGCGGCGCTCAGGTTAACATGCGCGGAGCATTGCGGCGCGTGTCTAACGAGCAAATTCGCAGCGCTACCCGAGATGAGAGCAGGGGCATCGAGATCGCCAATCGCCATCTGCATAACCTCAAGATTGGTCTCGAGCGCACCCGCGGCGCTCGTCGTTATGCCGACGCCACCAAAGAAGGAAATCCCAGATTCTCTCGAGATGAGCCCCTACACGACCCTGAAGCGGCAGAGGCCG